TGCTACTTCATCTCGTATGCGTGCAAGCTCGCGGCGCTTGGCTGGCTCTTCCTCCTCCCGCCGCAGAAGGAAGCCATGCAGGCGCTCAAGAAGCGTGGCCAGACGAGCAAGCTCGCGGGCGCGCTCTTGGTCATTATCTTCTTCCTCGCGCTCACGTTCTCGGTGACGACCAACTTTTTGTCCGTGTACCCGTCGACCAAGTGCCTCCGCATCGCTGGCGGCAAGGGCCGCAAGAACGGCACGTGCATCGTCAAGAAGTAAACTGACGTGGGACGAGTGGCTAGTCCCTACCTTGATATAAAACGGTGTAATGTATAGTGTGTCGTTGTTTTCATACTAAAAGCTAAGACTAGCATTTCATTATAAATGCGTTTACAGCTAGCTATCAACTACGTGTGCTCACTGGTTTGGGACCATTGCAGCACTGGGATGCATCATGCACGACGCCCCCCGTTTCCCTCCGACCCACTGTGGTGGCGCAACGGCACATGAAACCCAGCAATGGTGTATGCGCGGTTGTAGTTAATGAATCTAGCGTTTTAGGTGGCACAGAAAGCGCAATGTCAGGTAGATAAGCACTTGGATGAGCGCCCACTCGAGAAGAAGCGCGCCGCTGCTCGAGTAGATCTCGGCCGGGTCAAACCCAAATTTCGAAACGACGTACGACTGGACCGTCGCTGGCTTGCCGCCGACCAGAATCGATTTGCAGCCAGGCCCGACGCCATCCTCGCAGCGTCCAATGACGAGTCCGACAAGGACGTTGAGCGAGTAACTCGACGGAATGATCCACGTCAGCCACTTGTAGCCCCACTTCATGCGCACGAACGGGAGGAGGAAGCCGCCAAAGAGGTTAAAGATGCACGACGTCGCGCCGACAGCGACGTTGGCGACCTTGATGTTGGGCATGAGCACGGCCATCCACATGCCCATGAAGGTACACAGGGAGGTGTACACAAAGTAGATGAACCAGAAGAAAAAGAAGGTGGCCGCATCATTGTACCAGCCGACGAGCCAGTAGATGATCGCGACAAAGCTGAGGTTGACGACCACGAGGTACGGGATCTCGGCCAAGAGCATCGAGAGTGTGTAGGGCAGCGGACTGTAGTAGTTGGACATGCGCTCGCGGTAAAACACTGGGCGCTCCGTGCTCGCCATGTCGAGCACAGTCATCATGTTGATGACGCCGATAAAGTCCATCACATTGTAAATCAGTCCGACCTACGTCATCACGCCTATCAGTTTGTGGTCCACATGCAGACAATAGTGTACATGCGACGTCACGTGCGCCATAGTGCCAAACGGCAGCTGGTAGAACGTGCTGCCAAAGATGACGGCAAAGACCGGGTACGATACGAGTCGCACAAAGTTGTAGGCGGGCGACCGCCAGTACATGAGCACAGCCCGGTGCGTGAGCCAGCGCGTCTGGTTCCATAGGCTCGTCGCGATCGGCTGGAACTTGAGGGTCGAAAACATGACCAGTTCCGATGACGGCGCAAGGTGCTTCTCGACTTTGTCGCGGTTCGCCGCGCAGAGGTCGCTGCTCGCATAGACGTCGGCGTAGTTTTGAATGTCCTTGCGGCCGACGCCGGCGCCAATGACCTCGAGCATGTACGTCGCAGGGTTGTAGAGCGGCTGGATCTTCTCGGTCCCCGGGATCGAATGAAAATACTCGAGCAGCTTTTGCGAATCGCCGCCGAGCTCGCCGTAGAACGCGATGCGACCTCCTTTTTGCAGCAAGAGAAGCGAGTCAAAGAGCTCGAAGATCTGGATACTGGGCTGATGGATCGTGCAAATGACCGTGCGGCCCGTGCGTGCGATCGACTGGACACCGCGCATGACAAACTGCGCTGAGCGAGCGTCCAACCCCGAGGTAGGTTCGTCCAAAAACAAGATGCTCGGGTTGGCGACGACCTCGACACCGATCGTGACGCGCTTCTTCTGTTCGACGCTGAGGTTCAGAACGCGTTCGTGGGCGATCTTGTCGAGCTCGAGGAGCGTCAATGTCTCGCGCACCAAGCTGAGCTTGGCATCCAACTCGAACGTCTGCGGCAGCCGCAGAAACGCTGAAAACTCGAGCGCCTCGCGGATCGTCGACTTCTCCGAGTGGATGTCCATCTGCTCGCAGTAGCTGGCGATGCAGCTAAAGGTCGCGGGGTTCTTGGGCTCGCCGTTGATGAAGACGTCGCCGGCGATGCGGCCACCCGTCTTGCGACCCGCGAGAACATCCATGAAGGTCGTCTTGCCCGCGCCGGACGACCCCATGAGCGCGGTCATCGTGCCCGGCTCAAACGACGCCGTGATGTGCTGCAGTAGCTGTCGCTCGTCGCCCGACGGCATCTTCACAAAGTAGTCCAAGTCGCGGACGGCAATGCGCGCGGGATAGAACGGGAGCTGCGTCGGCGTGGTGTCGATCGTGAGCGCGGTCGCCGAGCCGGCTTTGGGCACCATGGGGGGCGCCGTCCCGCGCACTTGCGTATCAAACCGAATAAAGTGCAGCGCGAGGGCGTTCAGCGTCGTAAAAAGAAGGTAGTAGCCAAAGAGAAGGAGGAGGCCGTACCCAATGTACGCGTTGTCTTGGTGGATCTCAAACATGTCGAGGTTGTCAGCGCGTTCGTCCGGCGAGTAGCGTGTGCTGCTGTACTCGTTGAGCATGATGGAGCGGAGCGCCCACGTGAGCGGGTTGCACCAGTACATCCAGCGCCAATAAGTTGGAATGAGATCGTAGAGCACAATGTTGCCCGAAAAAAGAACGAAAAACACTATCGAGCAGGCGGCGAACGACTGCGCGATGGAGATCGTCGGCGCGATCGAGCTCAGGAGCGT